TTACAGGTTTCCTAGTTAGGTCTTAAGAAGCTGGGAAAATGAGAGGGACAGACACCCAAATAATTCTAGCCCCTTGTCTGGACAACCAGACTTGCGCCCTTGAGCATACTGTTCAGTTCATCCCATTCCCTGTACCACACGTCCACCAAAAGGACAAAATATTTGGAGTATAAGAACAGACAGGAACCACAATGAGTTTGCACAGAAACAAAGGTCTGTGCTTAAGCAAAGAGAGACAGAAGCATGGCTTGTCAGTAAGGGAGGGACAGACTTCTCTGCGTGTTTGACCAGGTATTTAAGGACCCTCGTATGTTGATTTTCCCAAGATTGCAAGGAAGATGTCGCCTGTAGAGCAGTGGTTCTCAACCTGTGGGTCGCAACCCCTTTGGGGTCAAATGACCCTTTCACAGGAGTTGCCTAAGACCACTGAAAACCACAGATCTTTACATTACAATTCATTACAGTAGTAAAATTGTAGTTATGAATAGCAACAAAATAACTTTATGGTTCCGGTGGTGTCACCATCATGCAAAGGTCACACGAAGAACCATATTAAAGAGTTGCAGCTTTAGGAAGGTTGAGAACCACCGATCTAGAAGTTTCCAATTTTAGAATGCAACTTAGGGTTGATGAATCCAGCTACGGTTTTCTGGAAACAGGGTGGCTCTTTATTGTGACACAGGAAATGCAACAACTTGGTGGGATAAATTCAAGGTTCATCTGCTTGAACTGCCTGTGGTGGCAGAAGCCTGCAACCCACCACTCAGGGTTGAGTCAGGGAGATCAGTTCAGGGGCATCTTTGGCTACTTAGGAGGTTTGGGCCAACCTGGGCTATACGAAATCCCATGTAAAACAAACAGAAGTCTATACATCAGACATATTCCTTGTATTTCCTGAAGCCCAAGGAAAAGGAAGCTGCCCAGGGCACACCTTTTGTGTGGGGGATGGAGAGACAGGAAATGCAGGGAAGGAGTTTGGGTCTGGGATGAAGGGAACCCGGAAGCGAGCTGTCTACTAGCAGTGTGGCACACAGCCCCATGAACTGATTGTGGGTCCTGGACCAAGCCCTTAAGTAGCCTTGCTCATCTTTCAGGGAAGCAGAAACTGTCACCCAGGATTCCATAATGGTCCAAATTAATGTTACAAGCAAGGCCAGGTGTATTTATTTGCAGATTTTACTCATTCTGTAATCTGCCAGACATCGTCCTGAGTAGCTGGCATTGTCCTTGAGGGTGGAGACAAAGTACCTCATCGCCTTGCAGGAGTTAGCATTCAGTTGTCTGAAGTGTCTGTGCAGGGGTGGTGATCAGGGGACAGTCATTCCGAGTGCCAACTAAGCTGAAATCGGCTTGACACACTAACAGAACCGGAAAGACAGGCCATTACTGTTTCCCGGATAGTCTGTAGGAATGGTGGGAGGGAAGACGGGCATTTGCCATCAGAATTAGGGGTAAGGCTGGCTGTCCAGTGGTCCTTAAAGAGGAGGCTTTGGATACGGTGGTGAGCAGGAGGCGTTGCCCACTGGACCGCTCTGCTGAGGGTCAGCTCCTGGAAGCAGTGGGGTGGGACAAGGAGCAGGCTCTCAGTGAACCATTTTCTGTCCCTCACAGCTCTACGTGGTGGGATCTGGAAAGTTCTGTTTTTAAAAGCCAGATGCCTGCTGCTTAGATTTTAGATGCTGTATCGCCATTAGTGACTGCTAATTAATTCTGTCTGTGATGAACTGTTTCAAGCAGGACTCACTGTCTCTTCCTGGAAGCCTGTTCCTGCTCTGGTTCTGAGCCCCTAGCTTACAGTATAATCACGTAGTGTTAAATTACTTAACCCCATGAGATCAGCTAGTGTTGAATGCCCACCTAGAACAAGTAAGCTTAGGTTGTGGAGCTGATGGTAAAAACAGCAGGGTACCGTATTAAGCATCATTTGGATTTGTGCTGTAAGCGTGACGCAGTCCCGAACCTGCCCAGGCCTGCTCAGCTCTGGGGTCTTGCATAAGTAGTTTTCCAATATTTTGTCATTAGAATATATTTAGGGTTTTGTGGACTTGATCACTGACCTGGGTTTAATGCTGTGTAGAATATAATGAACACCATCAATTTCTGCTGCTAGGGAGGCAAAATCTTCAAACATCTCTATTTAAAGCCTTTTAAGAATAAAAAACCAAAACCTAACTGCCCTTAGACACTGCATAAGTTTGCATATTTCTGAATCCCAATCCCTGCCTTGGAATTATCCAGATAGTCTGTGGGTTGATGTTTTTTCATTTTCATTGACTTATTTTCAGAAATTAACAAGGATTGTTTATTGAATTCTCCAGTGTTTCCAAAGTAATTATTCTTCATAATTTCTTCACAGAGATGAGCATTTTTCTGTCTCTTCCCTTGGGTTGAACCAAAGAGCATAATTATTGTAACACTGTGCCCGGTGCTACTTTTCATTGGTGCTAGGATTCGAACCCAGGACCACGTACATTCCATTGGCTCTGCCACTGGGCTGTATCCTCAGCCCAAGGCTGCGATTTTAAAAGCAAGACTTTTTATTTTTTACTGAGGTCATTGTCTGCCAGGCTTTGCCGCTCATTTTTCTTCTTTCTTTGATGTTGGCAGACTCAGCGACAAAGCTCTGCCAGCCTTTAGATTGCTCTCAGCATAAGATCCTGACAGTAGTGTATGGTTCATCGGAGCTGTTCTTCCTTGTGAGATGCCTCATGAAAACACAGGCCCCCCGCTTCTGTGATCAGAAGAGGGAGTCTGGCGTTTTGTTTTGTTTGAGACAGTGTAGCAAGTAGCCCAAGCGTGCCTCAGTCTCTGGATTCTAGTGTGCTGAAATTATAGGAGGCCCAGTTTAAAAAAAAAAGAAAAGAAACTTAGTTACGATTTCAGAATTCGCAACATTTGCTTCTCAGGTGAACGCTTTTTGATAGGGCCTGGAACTCTCCGGCTGAGTATCCGACAGAGCTGGTTGCCACTCTATCAGCCCTGCTCACCAGGGTCCCCACAAGGCAAGGCTGGTGCCAGTCTCTTCTTAGACTCCCCTTGTCCCTTCTGTACTTGGAGTTCAGGCTGTCCTGGAGTCATGGTGACAGCTGACGATGGCGCTCCCGTCCACCCTTCTAAACCCTGAAGACTTCCAGTGCCCCTGTCTCCCATCATTGGTGACCCCAGTTCTTCTGAGTCAGAGGCAGAGGCTGAAGAGGTTGAGGGAGGTTTATCGTGGGGCACGGTTGCTTCTTCGGGGGGGGGGGAGGTGTCTGGGACTCAAGTCTGCTGGGGCGAGCAGTAACTCTGAATGACCTCAACCTGCCTGCACTTTTTAGATGAGAGGTTACAGTGGGCTGAGCCTGCTCGTGTCTCAGAAGTAGGGAATGGAGGAGGGGGGATGGATCCCTGAAGCCCATGAGTCTATAGAGGTCGGTTCTTACAGGATGGAGACACAGACAGACACAGGAGAGGCGGTCCGGGTAGTGGTGATAGTGGGGATGATGTTTGCAGGGATTTTCATGCTTAGCAATGGCAGTGGGGGTTCAGACCAGGAGTTTGGGGTCTACCAGTAAAGAAGCAAAGAAGAAATGCCAAGCTGATGAGCGGTGTGGCTTCAGACTGACAGCATCGTTCTGTGGCACAGAGCCTTTCGCCCTCTTCTGTTTGACTAACAGGGAAAGCATTTGCTTTTATTTCTCAGGCTGAGTTAAGTTTTTTAATTGATCCTGGACAAAGGAAACAATGTGGATTGGCCTCATGTAACTCTATTACTTTTTCCTGAGCTTAGATTGCTGTTCCCGCTAAACAAGGGAGCCGGACACCACCAACACTGGGGAGGATAGAGTGTTTTCCACCCAACTTGAACTTGACATTAATCCCCCGTGCAGTTCCTTGCAGTCTGTAGACGGTTCTTACCACTTCCTGTGGAGTATTCTAGATGCTCTTTCTGTGGGACCTCTGACTTCCCTAGCAACACCCACCCTGCCCACCCACACAGCCCTGATGTTCAGATAATAGTGTTCGTCTCGAAGACCTTAGCTTAAGCTTGGGCTCCTCTGGTCACACCATCTGAAGGTGTGGCTGCCCTGTCCCGCCCTGGATGGATACTCCTATTCAGCTCACATCTCTGGTTTCTCATTTCACGCTTCCCTACATGGTTGCGGTTTTCTGGTCATGAGACAGGATCTTTTTATTTCTCTTAGAGGAGCTCACAGTAGGTTAGTGTGGACACATAGTGAGGCTTACAAGTGTTCTATGGGAAAGCGTTGCTAATAGGTACTTTTTATATGGCGATTCCAATAGCTGATATTTAACATGTGTACCTGCCTTGGATTTCCTTCTGAACCTGATTGTATCAGATAGTGGTTATCACAATTACTTACCTTTGGTGTCTCAGAATTGCCCATATGTCTTATGAATGCAGTAATTTAAAAAAATATTTTTAATTTAATTTCTATTTTTCTTTCTTCATTTTCCTGCACATACTTGATCTGCTCCAAGTTTGACTCTTCAGGGTGTCATGGTAACCGGGCACTGCATCCCGGGGTTAAGCTGGCCTTTTCTTCCCTGAGATGTATCTCAATGCTGTGATATGCTTGCTTTTTTGTTCATCATTTCCTTATGGCTTCTCTTTGGTGATAAAATTATCATTGGTATGCCCTTGATTTTGAGTGTTTCCCCTCATATAGAAAATAAACACCTGTGGTATGACTGCAATACACATGTATTTATACTAGCAATGTGCACAAGAGCATTTTATTTTAATTTTCACTCATTAACGCTCAGCAGTGTTACTTATCTGATTATCGAGCAACTTAGTTGTTATGAGGTTAAAACAGTATGTATGTTTCAATCAAGCTGAGAATTTCAATGCACCAAAAAAAAAAAAAAGACATCTAAGCCAGATAACTGTTTTTTTTTTTTGTTTCTTTTTAAATAAAATAACTACAAGTTATATTTTAAAACTAAGAGTGGTAAGTCCACCACAAACGTAAAACACACATCGGTGCTGTTTTCAGGAACCCAACCTCTTGAGTCCGGTGCAGGATGGCGTGAAGACGCCACAAATCGACAGCAACAAGTGTAACAACTACCGGATCGTGAAGGAGGTGAGCAGCCAGGGCCGCGTCCTCCCTGCGTCCTCCCTGCATACTCGCACGCGGGCTGATTTTGTTCCCGTGCGTGTGGCACCGCTGTGTCTAAGGCAGGGCTTCGTCTGGTTACAGATCTTGGTTAGGCTGAGCAAGCTGTGTGTGCAGAGCAAGAAGGGTCGCAACCAACACCAGCGGCTGCTGAAGAACATGGGGGCTCACTCGGTGGTGCTGGACCTCCTGCAGATCCCCTACGAAAAGGTTTGCCCCGAACCGTCTTCCTGCAGTCCTGTCTCACTCAAAGTGTGCCACCAAGTTTAAAGGAGTTTCCTCTCCTTAATCGTTGAAGATGAGCCCCCCTCCCACTGCACCCATTGCCACACACCCTTGAATTCTTTCCTGTGTTTCCTGTGCACAGGGGTGAGCCTTTACGAAGCTCACTTCCGTCTCGCAGACCAGGAAGAAACGTGGCATGTTGCCACCCAATCCGACACAGCCCTCAGGTTTCCTCCACAGTCCCAGCATGTCCTGTGCACAGAAGCACCTGTTAGAAGCTTGCCAGCTCTGGGCTTGGTCATTCTGCCTTCATATCTCTCAGTCTGAGCTCTCTTGCGGATTGACAGTTATTTTGAAGAGTGTTCCATCCCTCACTGCCTCCTGTGCTCAGGTTCCATTCCCTGTCTTCAGTTGGAACATAGGAGGGGTCTAGTTTCTGTGCCGAGCTCCTACTAGCAGGCACATGCAGCTCTGATCCGTTCCAACACCAGGGACGCGTCCACCGTAAGGACCTCCCTCTCCTTTGTAATACACAACGATTCTGCACAGCGGTTCCACTGAATACCCCATCCTGCATCCATTTTTTTTTTTAAATTCACATTTGTGCTAGCACAGGCATGGGTGGAGGATTGGAAAGTCTGCGGGAACGATAAGATTGGCAGTGTAACAAGGACAGGGTGGGAAGAATGAGACAGACAGACAGACAGACAGGAAGAATAGAGAGAAGGAGAGAAAGGTCTCGAACACGGAGCTGAAGGGGCAGGGGATGGTGGGAGGGGTACAGAGATGCAGCGGGTGTGGGGAAAGGGGAGCGTGAACGGAGCCCCGCAGGCGGGCATCCGCGGCGGAGGGATGTGGTTGTGTGTAAATCCGCTGTTCTCGGTGTCATGCGCTGCCCTTTCACCTACAGAACGACGAGAAGATGAATGGGGTGATGGAATTAGCCCACACCTTCCTGCAGAACTTCTGCCGGGGGAACCCGCAGAACCAAGTTCTCCTTCACAAACATCTCAATCTGTTTCTAACTCCTGGAGTAAGTACCGCAGTGACATTTACAGCAGAGCGCACCTAGCATTTACTGCGCTGAAAAAAAAAAAAAAATTGTTGACCTTTGCGCATCATTTTCGCCCCGAGATTCACTCCATAAAATTGAGTGTTTCCATAGAAGAAGCTCTTCAAGTAGTTTGAAAATTTAGACAAATTTTATATGCCAATGGCAGTTTCATTTATGACATAGAATTTATAATGTTAGAATAAGGACTTTAGGAAGAACTGGTCTGTTGATACCACGGTGAAGCTAAGTATGGGAGCTGGGGTATATATAGCTCAGCGATAGACAGCTGGCCTAGCATCTTCAGGAGAACGCAGCACTACAAAACCCAGACCGAAAACAAACACACAAGAGCTAAATACTGAATATTCCAAGGTTGCATTAACTATGGCCTGCTAAAAGCGTGTAGGCAGACTGGGGGTGGGGTGAATAAGAGGGTTCACTGTGGAAGTGGACTCAGATCACCAGTACCCACATAAAAGCCAGGGATGGCCCTGTGTGCCTGTAATGTCAGGGTGAACAGCAGAGACAGGAAGGCTGCAAGAGCCTGCTGGCCAATCAGTGTAATTGGGGAAAGTCCTAAGTTCAGTGGGAGACTCTGCCTCATGGGAATAAGATGGGGGGGGTGACAGAGGAGTACACCAATCCTGTTACGAGCGGTTTTCCTGCCTGCCTGGTCCCAGAGCTGCGCCAGCCCCAAGTAACACACAGAGACGCTGTATTAGATATAAAGCTGTTGGCCTGTTACTAGCGTTTCTTATTGGCTAGCTCTGTCTTAAATATTAACCCATTTCTATTAATCTAAGTATTTCCATGTGGTCTCATCTTACCGGAGAGAGGGGCCTGAGCTCTGCTCTCTCGGTCCTACATTTTGAATCTCCTCCTACCTCTTCCAGAATCCTCCTTGTCTCCTAGTCCCTCCTATCTTCCTTTCCTATTGGCCAACAGTACTTTATTCATTAACCAGTATGAGAAACATATTTACAGAATGACATCTCCCATCACAGTCCTGCTCGGGTCCCTGCATGTACATGCACACAGCACATGTATCCCTCAGCACGTGCGCGCGTGTGCACGCACACACACACACACACACACGTGCACACAGCATACATGCTCATACTATACTCTCACAAAAGGATAAAAAAAATTACTAGCAGATCTCAAGGAAGAGTCAAGTTGCTGGTAATGTGCTTGCTGACCTCCTCTGTCCAGCTGCGTCCCGCGGTGAGGCAGATGCCTTTCAGTTGTTCATGCCTCCACGTTTCACCGAGGACAGGCACTGGCCGCTCATGGTGGCTCCACAGATGACATGGGGCCCCTCGCAGTCAGGGAACATAGGCACTGTAGGACAACCCTGATGGCGTCCCAGTCACAACGGTTCGCTCCCCCTGCTCAGCTCCTTGAAGCGGAAACCATGCGACACATCTTCATGAACAACTACCATCTGTGCAAGGAGATCAGCGAGAGGGTGGTCCAGCACTTTGTACATTGTATCGAGACACACGGCCGCCACGTGGAGTACCTAAGGTTCCTGCAGACAATCGTGAAAGCGGATGGCAAATATGTGAAGAAATGCCAGGACATGGTCATGACGGAGGTAGGTGTCCAGTCTGTCTTCCATGCTAAGCCGTGCCCAGATGTGCGTCACCAGCCAGCTCGGAGCAGGGAGAGACCTCCGAGGCCACTTGGCTCTACTGTGACCAGAGAGGCACTGATAGGGTTTACACTGGTTCAGTGAAGTAACACAGGACCATCTGACCTCATGACCTTATTAAGTTTTTCTTTTTGATCTGTAATGAATTTTGGTCTGTTAAGTAATGGGTAATTTTCAGAGTTGCGATATCGTGTGTGTGTGTGTGTGTGTGTGTGTGTGTGTGTGTGCATATATGTATGTCTGTATGTGTACATGTATGCATGTGTGCACTAGTGAAAGTTTGTTTGTGCACTATGTGCATGTAGGTGCCTGTGGATACCAGCAGAGGGAGTTAGATCCCCTGGAACTGGAGTAACACATATTTATGATGTGGGTGCTGGGACTTGAACCTGGGTCCTCTGCAAGAGCAACAAGTGCTCTTAACCATTCAGCCACCCACCCCTCCAGCTCCTACAATGGGTGAAATCTTATGCAATCACAAGGTTATTCTGAATCAACACAATTTTTCTGTTTAAAAGTTTTAGTGTCGTAACAGAGAAATGGATGGTTCCTGCTGTTTCTGAATCATAGGACAGGTGTTCTCTGCCTCTGTTTGTAATGGTTTTGAGGGACAGCACATGAGTTAATAAGAAGTGATTGGCAGGTCTCTATTAGAGCAGTAGGAATTGGGTGTTTTGAATGAGGTAAGAGCTTAGGAAAATGAGCTAACTCCTTTGGAAGAGGTTGGCGTGGGTTAGCTGCTCACTGGGGACAGGAGGGTGTCCCTTTGGAGAGCTGGTGACCAGATGCGGGTTGGTGGCCTGTGAGGCACAGAAGCTCCACCCACAGCTGCAAGGCAGTTCTTACCTGGGGATGTTCCCGTCGTCGCCATATGCCTCCAGTTAGATAAGTGAGGGATGTCTCTGTGTTGATCTTATTTCTCCCAGACGTCTTAAAAAGTGATCCAGCCTAAGGCCTTGAACTTTTATGTATGAGCTGTGAATAAATAATGAAAGGAGCATTGTGTGGCTAACACAGGCCCTTCCTTTGGTACTTGTCCAAGGAAATGCTTCTGTGTGTAAGGAAATATTTGTCATATTATGCATACTCGTGTTTGGATACGCAAATTCATTCACAACAGGACTGTCAAAGTCAGCCAGGCAGTTAATTGGCTTATTCATTTAAATGTTACTGATTTAAATATAACAACTAAACCGAGATTTACATATCATTCATAACTTGAGTATTTCCTATCAGGGCTAGAAAGTTGGTATCAGTAATAGATAGTAGATGATGGCATGGTAAATAAGATTTGCTGCCTTCCTGAGCTCTAAAAGCATAAAATAAAATGTGAGGGGCACACTCACGTCCTAAGTATCTCCCTGTTTTATTCTCTGATGCTTCCCCATAAAATGAGGAATCTTCCAGATATTTATGAAGTTGTAAGTACTTGAAGCAATGTACACGTTTGCTTACTTACTAATGTGAATGCTTTTTTATGATCCGTTGCATTTTTAGTGTGTATAGAAATGTGTCTACCTGTGGGTGTGTGCGCACGTGAGTGCACTGTCTGAAGAGGCCAGAAGGGGGCGTCGGATCCTCTGGTCCTCCGCAGGAGCAGAGAGTGCTCTTAACTGTCTCTCCAGCCCTTTACACTAAAGCACTCCAGCTTTAGTGAAAACGGACTCAGGACGCCAGACGCTCGCTGTCCTGGTGCTGGGGTTACAGGTCTGCACCCCCGGGCCTGGCTCGGTGCTGTTTGAGTCTTATCCCATCCGTTACTCTCACACCTCCTGCCTGGTTTCGGCAGCAATGGTGGCTGGTCACCTGGCACTTGATTTTGACCTTTCCCTCCTGCCTGAGGAAGCTCTGCTTTTATAGTGTGTGTGCATGTGTGTGTGTGTGTGTGTGCATGCGTGCATGTATGTGTGTGCTTTTGTATATGTATGTGTGCATATGTGTGCACATACGTGTGCATGTGTGCGTGAGTTTTGTATGTATGTATGTGTACATGTATGTGCCTGAGTGTGTGTGCATGTACATGCGTGCATGTGTGTGTGTGTTTTTGTATAGTGTATGTACAGGTGTGTGTGCGTGTGTGTGTGCATGCTTGTGTGTGTGTGTGTGTGTGTGTGTGTGCTTGTTTCTGTTTGTACACAGAGATCTGTGTGCCTTCAGGTAGGTCAGGCTCTTAGAAATGTCGAAATCTGCCATGCAGTGTCTTTTCTTCATTATTTCAGTTGATTAACGGGGGTGAAGACGTGCTGATCTTTTACAACGACAGAGCGTCATTTCCCATCCTCCTTAGCATGATGTGCTCTGAGAGAGCCCGCGGGGATGAGAGCGGCCCCCTGGCCTACCATATCACCCTTGTGGAGTTGCTGGCAGCCTGTACGGAGGGAAAGAATGTCTACACGGAAATCAAGTGCAATTCTCTCTTGCCCCTGGACGACATCGTGCGGGTGGTGACCCATGAGGATTGCATCCCTGAGGTCAGCCCCACAAACGCTTACCACGTGTGCAACACCCCTGCTTTTACGGTTCACCCTGGTGTCAGGCGTCTCCCATGGCGATAGTTGCCATGACATCACATATTTAGTGGAGGGATTAACGGTTTAGCCACGTAATTTTCAAAGTGGAAAAGTGCACAGAGACTTCTAGCTTTAGTTTGCACAGAAGGAAGGCAGTTCCGCTGACTAAGAGCTACAAATGTCTCTTAAGGCCCGCTCACGGTAGTGGGCTTGCAGAGAAAGGTCCACTTGTAGTTTTGAGCGTGACCTTGGTGACTCATTGGTGACGTCAGTCACTGATGAGAGAGCCTAGGCCGGTGGTGGTGCAGCGGCTCACCTTCGACTCCATTGCTCTACCTTGACGCCTAGAATGTGCGTTCTCCCGAGAGCACACCACACCCTCCCTCAACCTCCCTTCTACTTCAGCTTTGATGACTTGGGAAATACCTCGCAGAGCGTGATTACCGGCTGAGGAAACCCGTCTGTTAGTGAGGGTTTCAGGGAACACACAGTGTAACTGTGCGTTGACTTCCGCAGGCACTAACACGTCCAGCGTCCAATTCCCACAGTTTTAAAGTGAAATAGTCGCTGCATCTGCCTAAGAGGATTAATAGAGGATTGAGTTCAATAAGAGGAGTCATGGGGAGGCCCAGGGGCTTCATGCATGGCGGACACTGAGTACATACAGCTGCTGTGGAGACGATGGTGTCTCAGCTCATCTTAGCCGATGACCATCCTCACATACCATTGAGGGTTTCTTCTAGGCTTTAGTGGAGCAGCAGGGAGCCCTACAGGCAGGAAACCTTGCTCTCTGGTTCCTCATGGTTCTGATTCAGAGTCCCGGAATCCCAAGGAGTGATTGACACGATTTGTTTCTGTATACAGCCTTCTCTTGGAGACATTTGAGTTCTTCCCAGTGTTTCAAGGATGCTAGGTTTGCTTTGAGCAAAGCTGCTATTTTCATAGCAGTCTCTGGGCATGGGGGAAAGGAATGCTAGACCACAGGCTTCCCTGGGCCAGGCTGGAGCAAGCTGTTAAAGGGAAGACGGCAGGGAGCCTGCACACGCACAAGACGAACCGTGATCTGCCGCAGGAGCCCACACAGGTGGCATTTCATGTTGTAGAACAGAAGGCGGTGGGTGGAAAACTGAACTTGCCTTTGCGTTTGAAACTTGCACAGGTCAAGATCGCGTACGTGAACTTCGTCAACCACTGTTACGTTGACACGGAAGTGGAGATGAAAGAAATCTACACAAGCAACCACATCTGGAAGTTGTTTGAAAACTTCTTGGTGGATATGGCGAGGGTAAGTTAAGCGCTCTTCATGTGGGGTAAGGTCATCGGTGTCTATTGGTATTCATTTCGATTAAGCAGTAAATATCTGGATGAAAACATGCAGTTAAACCAGCTACATTAGTCTGTTTTATCCACGAAGCTGTGAATGGGTTCCAGGAGATCGTGAGCGGCATTGTTAACGTACACAAAGCACCTACTGTGGCATGTGCAGTGACAGGTGACATGTTTAGTTTCTACCTTTGTAAATGACCACGTTTGTCTGTTACGAACTGGGATTTTAGGAGCCCCGCTACATGGGTTGGAGGAAATATTTGGCAGAGGCCATTTTCCATTTAACCTCTTGCCGTGGAGGCAATTAAAGCTGCAGATGGAGGGTGCCTCAAGTGGTCTAGGGAGGACCGTGAGCAGACTTCGCATGACCCCTGTTACATACAGCCTTCCCTGGCTCTGATAATTTGGCAGAATGTGATTTTTCACAGTTCCCCAGATCACATTCTGCCTTTGCTTTGAGTCTGTTCCTTTCTTTTTCTTTTTTTAATTGGGAGGTGTCATGTGGCACTAGGTGGCATTTTGTAGACACCGTCTGGCGTGCGTGTTTTCTCTGGGGAAATGTATAAGCAACAAGGAAAGGTTGCTGTTTACTTGTTCGTGCTTTCTCCTTTGCGTAACAAGTCAGTATTAACGCCCAGGGGACTTTTACGTTTTACTTCTTTTTCAAACAAGGCTTCATTCCCTACGTAGCCCAGGCTGGGCCTGCAGCAACCCAGGCTAGCCTCAGACTCACAGCAGTCACCCTTCTACAACCCCACAAGTGTTGGGGTTACAGGTTTGGGCCACCACGCCAAACTCTCATTGGAGTTTTAAGAGTGGCAAGGCGTGAACTCTGAGTAAGGATTTTCCTAGGAAAGGCAGTGTGTCCATAGCGCCTCAAGATTTGCACGAGTTGAGGTGAGCTGTGCAATCCCTCGGGCCTTCCTGCTCCCCCTGGTAGCTGAGGCCTCCTCCTCTAAGCGTGTGTCTCTGAGGATGGGGATTCCCCAAATCTTACAAGAATGATTGCCTCTGTGTCTGGCAGTTCGTGGCCTCCTTCCTCTCTTTCTGGAGGAGGAAAGATGAAATTCATACGCAAGCGCTCCCACTGTAAACTCGGGCGGAAAGGTGGATCCTGTTTATCTCGCTTTTGGTGTGACAGAGCGAGTGAGACTTTCACTAGGTTCAAGTGCGTGCATGCTCAGAGCCGTCCTCGTTTACATCGTTTTTCCTGTGACCAGCTAGAAGTCACCACGTCCTTTCGTGACAGCTGGTAGATTCCGCACTTAACTCACACCATTTGCGTTTGCTGCCGCTGACCTGTGGAAAGCGTGGCTCTGACCAGCTGCTCCCGAGTCCTTGAAGCAAAGGGTACTTTCAGGGGCCGTACATACAGGAAGATGTTAAGGGGTTTCCGGGCGGATGCGTATCTTCAGAGTTGTCTGGCAACAGAGATTAGCTCGTGAAAGGCCAAGGTCACATTCTCAGAGGCACCGGCTGTCTCCATAAAGTGAAGTTAATTTTCTTAAAACCAGAGAGAGCTAGCGGCGAGTGCCTGACCCGGCCACCCCTGCACCCACATGTTCTTTCCGCTCACGAATTCAGACGCTGCGCACCTTTCCTCTTACTGAGTTTGCTTAAGTGGGTGATTATGAAGTGTCGCTTATCACATGAAGGCTCCGGGAGGCTTCCTGGAATTCCTGCCTGCCAGCTCGAGTTGACCGCAGAAACCTTTGTTCCCATCAGCTTCTTCTTTGTCCTTCAAAGCAGGGCTTCTCCAGGGTGGACATGAAACCACCTGGCATTTTCCAGAAGAGGAAGCTCGGGGCAGAGGGCCCCTTCCTCCCTCTGCAGGAAGTTTCCATGTTCTAGTAACAAAACAACCCAGCTTTCCGTGCAGATGGCTGAGCCCTGCTCCCCAGAGTCTCAACACTTGGGAGACAAGACATTTTGAAACAAGTCTTACGTGGCACCACGGTTGGTCCTGGGGTACCCTAAGAGCCACTGCAGTAGGATCCGGATGGGATGTCAAAGTAATTAGTCGGACCAGGGTTCAGATCCAAACTCTACCTTTCTCTGACTGCCTTACATATACTGGGAAAGGTTCTGTAACCCGAGTTGTCTTGCAATAAATACATTTCTCCAGTGGCCCTGGGAAGAGCTGGTGATGTAACACACAATAAGCTCTTAGTGAATCCTGCTCTTTGCAAAGGGCTTGGTGGCATTATGTTATTACCAGGATTATCACAAGGCTATGAGAAGCCTTTTGGGCAGTTTCAGGAGCTTCCCCGAGACCTAAGTGGTACTGATGACATAATGACATTGAGAGAGGCAAAAACAGACTGACCATACAGGCAAGAGCCAGACCCTGTGTTCATGCAGCCAGGCGGACATTCTCTGGGCTTGCATGATACTGCACAGACATGAAGCCAGGCATGCATATAACCAGACCTGAAAGATACTAGGTATGTGTGAAGCCAGGTATGCACGAAGCTGGGAATGCATGAAGCCAGGCATGTATGAAGCCAGGCATGCATGAAGCCAGCTACACATGAGATTGGACATGAATTAAGCTGGAAGCTGAATTTGCATGAGGCCAGGTGTCTTAATTAGGGTTTCTATTGCTGTGAAGAGATGCCACGCCACAGCAACACTTATAAAGGAAAACATTTAGTTGGGGCTGGCTTATAGTTCAGAGAGTTAGTCCATTATCTTCGTGGCAGAGAGCATGGGGCGCTTGGGCAGGCGTGTTGCTGGAGAAGGAGCCACAAGTCCTTTGTCCAGATGAGCAGGCAGTAGGAAGAGAGAGTTGGGCCTGGCTTGAGCATTTGAAATCTCACTTCCTGCAGCAAGGCCACACCTCCTAACAGTGGCCCTCCCTATGACCCAGTGGAGGCCATTTTCATTCCAAGCGCGAAGCCAGGCGAGCATGGGTCCAGGCCTGTGTGAAGCCGTGGGCAGACGTGACGTCATATAAACTGCTGCGGAGGAAAGGCATCGGACTCAGGTGTGAACAGCAAACTCATAAAACCCGCGAGCAACTGATTGACGTCGGAGGGGAGGAGGGGGGTGGAGTGGTGCTGGAAGCTGGGTTGAGGGCACCCAACTTGGGAGGGGTAAAAGAGGAGAGAGCATGCAGCTGGGTGTCTAGCCTTAGTTTTCAGCGACTACCTGGACATTTCTAAACCGGTGTCGTTCCTATGTTTGGCATGCTTCGGCTTTTATTTCTGCAGAACTTACAATCTAAGGATTCTTACACTGACTCTGAGTTTTCTCTATTGTCGTTTCTTCCCTGGTTTTACTTGAGCAGCAACATGGGGCAGTCCGGTTGAGCAGAGGGATAACGTACACCGGAAGTCATGAGTTCTCCTTGCAATGCCTGCTTTGGGATTGTAAAGCTGTGAAGCTTAGGGAACTTGTAGGTGGCCCTCATAATTTTGCTCCTGGAGTCCAGATGCATAATTTGCAGCTGAGTCCCCTGCTTGTTACGGCACGGGAAGGAAGGTTTCTGCCTCCACTCCCAGCCCCAGAAGCTTCTCAGAGTTAGCCTTTGTCTCCCAGTGTTTTACCCATGACTTGTACTGGCCCTCTGTGGAGTTTTGTTCTGTTTCCGCAACGCTGGATTCCCTCCAGCCTGCCTGAGCCTACACAATTGTATTTGGGCAGAAATGTGGAGAACAGTTTGTCTGAAAGGACAGGTGAAGTCTGGAAGCCAGCAGCCAGGCCTTGGGGCTCCCGGAAAGCCCTCTGGAGCCACTGCCATTTGTATTTTCCATTTTCCTCTCCACGGGCTTTATCCTTCACGAGGGTCACGCACGCGCCCACAGGAGTGGTCCAGTGAGAGGGCTCAGTGGGTAAAGGTGCTTGCTGCCAAGCCCGATAACCTGAATTTGATCGCTGGAACATGTGTGGTGAAAGGAGAGACCAGACTCCAGCAAGTTGTTTAATAAATTTAAAAATATTTTTAAAAAGACACACAGAAAATCTTTCCCGGAAAGTAGCTTTTAATAAGCTATGTTACATTGTCTCATGTGGTCACCCTTCTGATGTCCCCACAGAGACGGGGCCCACGGAGCTGTAAAACAGCTCGCTGGGGCAGTGGCCAAGCTATTAGACCCAGGAAAAGTTGTTGCTGTCTGTGAGACCATCAATGGCGGCCCACTTTGATCCATGTTCCAGTGCAGCCGAAACCTGTGCTCATGGAGGAGAAATGGCTTTCTTCATCCTGGTAACTGCTTGTTGCTGCAGTCAGGGGACTCAGGCCGTTATCAGGAGGTTCCTGGAAGGGGCAGGCGTGATTGGTGCTAGTCTCAGACTGTAGGTGTGATTGTTTTGAGGACGTTCCCAACTCTGTCATCCCTTTCGAGACCTTACGGCGACCGTGTGTACTCTGAGTGATATTCCGGCCGAACAGAATTAGACCAGGAAACAATTTAGTGTGTGTGTCCACTGAATGCGCCATCGGTCATCGCTTAACAAGACAGATCAGATAGATGGCTTGGGCCACTCGCTCCCTTTCCTGCCGAGCAGACGTTTGGAGGTAGGTAGAACGCATATCTGCTATAAGACATGATTCCACGTGGCCTTTGTTAGATAGGGGCAAGCGGATGTCCGATTGTTTTGTTGGCTTTGTGAATAGCTGACTGCATCATTAATTAATCTTCTTTATGTGGCCCAAGAAGCTAGCATGGCGGGGGCATGTCTTCTGTGCCTTTTGTCGTCTTCGGGGCACCTCCGGCTCAGCTGTAACTTTGCAGACCTAATTTCTGTGCTGAGTTATAGGGGTGAGGCATGTTGCGACAGAGAGCTGTGGGATTGCCCCCGTGACCCGATGGACGGTCGCTCCTCGTCCTACCGTACGCTGTGTGCTTCATTCATGTGAGGTGTCCCTTCTAGTCCTTCCCAGGAGTGTGTATCTGTGCGTGTATGCACGTGTGTGTGTGTGTGTGTGTGTGTGTGAGCACATGCATGTGTAATGGC